CCCGAGCCGGGCCGGGTCCGGGCTGGGGGTGCTGGGGCCCGAGCCGGGCCGGCGCTGCTGGGGCCCGAGCCGGGCCGGGGGTGCTGGGGCCCGAGCCGGAGCCGCTGGGGCAGCCGGGCGCCGCTCGGCCGGGGCCGCGCCACCCCGGAGCTCTCCTCCTCGCCCCCCCTCCACCCCAGCTTACCTGCTGCTGCCTCCCGCTTGCCCCTGCTTCTTTTGAGACTTCCCGCGAAGATCTGATTCGCGGGAAGCAGGGGAGGGGGAGGAGCAGGGGGGCGGAGCGTTCAGGGGAGGAGAGGAGGGGGAAGACAGCTGCGGGCCGGACAGCATGGTAAGGCTGCAGGGGATGGGGGGAGCCGAGAAGGGGCTTTGGGTGCCCAGCGGTGCTTGGCCGCCGCTTTTCTATCTATAAATAGCCGACCGGGGGGAAATCCCGGACATTTTTAGATTTTTAAAAATCCCCCCCGGACGGCTATTTATAGACCGAAAAGCCGGACACGTCCGGGGAAATCCGGACATATGGTAGCCTTATTTTATATGATGTATAAAGAAGACCTGAAAGAGGTTTATTTCTAGTTGTTTTTACCTTAGAAATATCAGGAGTGTCCGGGGAGCCGCAGATTAACTCTCACAACTTAACTGAAGGGCTTGAGATGTTGAATCAATTGGAACTAAAAGGCATTTAAAAATCCAAACCAAACAATAGAGTTTCAAACGGCCTGACAAAAATCTCCATCCACTTTCACTCTTGTGATGCCCATTTCACTGATCTTCCAGTCAGCAGAGTGTTTCAGGGGAAGACAAGATTTGAATTTCTATTGTAAATAACAAAGAGGAAAAAAGAAAACTCTGTTTTCCTTTTCCTTTTGTATAAAACCCTTTCAGGCTTCTTTTAGAAGGGAAAAAGGGCAGAAGCCTAATTCTAGTTTAATCACATATAAGTGCTCTCTACACCCAACCCAACTACAGCATTTGTCATTTTGATCCTCTTCTGCACTTACACTAAGGGCAGTGTTGTAAAGAGGTCTTAGCATATACAGAAATCAAGCATTTCGTTTCTACGCAGGGCCAGCAAAAGAGACAGAACTCTGGATCTGATCTATTCAGAACTGAGGTTAGGAGTGGTTGTAGTTTGGAGTCTGAATTTGGATTCAGACCCTAGTAGTGCAGTTGAGCCTTATTGTTGCAAATCCAAACTCCTCTGAATTTTGGGGTATTCAAAATGGAAATCTAACTTTGATGGTACTTCTGGTTACAGATGGCTTTAGCCAAAATACTGAGAGAGAGAGAGAGAGAGAGAGAGACTGTTTTTATGGTACTCCTTGCCCACCTACAGCCAGCACATATTTGAAATATCCTGATAAAACATTTTCCTGCACAAGGCTTCCAGAAAAGTGTTTTGAGCCTCTTAAGGCTCGGATAAGTAGTCAAACTGTGGAGTGTAGTATCTGTTGGATAAAAACCCAAGAGACCTTTATATTTGAGGTTTTTGCATTTCATATAAAGTTCACAAAATCAGTCTAGTTTACTAAAAACCTATAAAAATGTTGTGGGTTTTCCATTTAAAAAAACAGAGTCATTTTAAAAACAATTTTACTAAGTCAAAACAAGATGCAAACCTTTGCAGTTTCCCTGCATGGAATTTCAGCACAGATATTTTGCAGTTTCTAGTTAATGTGCTTCATGGGTATAGCACAGATTGGCTACATCAGATTGATGGCGTGAGGCAATATTAAACCAAGTGGTGATGCTCAGAAAACTGACTATGTAAACTATTTCACCTTCTTACTCTGTAAGTTAGCCCATGTGGTCCTTCCAATATGTCCCTGACCCTGACCACAACGTTTCACTGTTAGAAGTAAAACAGGTTTCAAAACCAAACTAATCCTTAGCATGTCCTCAGCATCAGCCAAAAATGGTGCCCTCACACCTGATAGTCCACCAAAGCCCATGACAAGATTTTGTTTCAAGGACAATGACAATGTAGCTGCAGTTTAGATTGCAAGCTCTTTAGGGTAGGGACTCTCTTCTTTGTGTTTCCAGAGCAACTAGCACAACAGGGCCCTAGGCACTCACGAAATACAAACAACAACAATAAATGTATATTACTGGGGTTACTAGTTCCACTAAATCAAATACCGAGGCAGAGTTCTAAGAATAGGAACATGAAACATGAAGTGGGGAAGGCTACTTTGCATGCAGACATATGGTACATACTGTTGTCTGGCAATATTTTAAGACAGTGATGTGCTTAGTTTTTCCTGTACCTGTGAAATTCACCTCAATACAAGGAAGTGATTATCTGCATCTTTTTACAATCAGATGTTGATGAGTGCCTTGAACAGAACATTCACTGTGGACCAAATCGCATGTGCTTTAACATGAAAGGAAGCTACCAGTGTATAGATACACCTTGTCCACCAAACTATCAACGAGATCCTCTTTCTGGGTATGCTTTATTTAAGTTTTTTTTTTTCAGGTTCTTTCTTCTCCCCAGACATTAGCCCTGATCCTGCAGTGTAATCTGCTAGCGCAGAATCCCACTGACATCAGTACAATTCTGCATCGGTGCAGAGATCCACACTAGTGGATTACAGTTACAGTCTTGGGCCTGTTCTCTGTACAAAGATTAGTCACTGGTGACAGTGATATATATGCATTGTTGCTTCATGTTATTGATAAATAATAGAATTAGATTGCAGTGGGTTTACACAAAAGTTGTGACTTCTGGCTGCCATCACGGATCCAATATTACTAATGTTCGATTCAGTGGAAGCAAGGTCAGACTGTTTGTGTACCAATAGAATCGGACACACCAACTTTCAAACCCTGCCATGACAGATTTTATTCAGATTCTTCCTGATGATTCAGTTTCCTTCAGCAAACAGTGATGGAGCCTTTTTGCTCGTTGACATTTTCTGGCTCTAGTTTATTTTTGGACCGTGCTTAGATGCTTCCATTTATATTTTTAGAGCACTTCAAAATAGTTACTAATTCTTGAGAACAAATATCCCCACTCAATATCTTTTTTTTTTTAATTTTGGAGGCAAAATTCTGTAATAGGTCATACACACCAAATGGAGAATGAAGCCTAAATATTTTATAAGCTGTCCCAAACAAGTTTTTTTTTTTTTTTTTTTTGCATTGTTTACGAGCTTGGTCACTAAAATGATGTGCTATTGACTATAGCAACCAAAACAAGAAGTAATCTAGGATTTCTTTTTAAAGCTATCAATATTTTTAGTACTTCTCTGTGGCTTCCAGGGTATTCTGTTATCAGTGAAACGTGGTTGTGGTTTCAAAGGAACAAGATCAGGTTGTCTATGCTGAAGTAACTGTGTCACGCGTGTGCACCGGAATTTGGCCTTTGCTGCATAATGCCCTAATTCTGTACTAAATTATAGTGACCTGCATAATACCTTCTGCCTAGCTACTTCAAAGTATTGTTTTTATTCCTAGCTTCTGTCTCAAGAACTGCCCACTTAATGATTTGGAATGTGCCCTTAGCCCATATGCCTTGGAATACAAACTCGTTTCCCTGCCATTTGGAATAGCTGCCAATCAGGATTTAATTCGACTGGTTGTCTACACTCAAGATCAAGTGATGCATCCCAGAACAACTTTCCTAATGGTAGATGAGGACCCAACAATCCCATTTGCTCTCAGAGATGAAAATTTAAAAGGCATAGTGTTCACAACCAGGCCACTGCAAGTGCCAGAGACGTACCGGATGAGAGTCAGAGCTTTGTCCTACAGCACTGATGGAAACATTGAATATCAGACAACTTTCATTGTTTATATAGCTGTGTCTGCCTATCCATATTAAAAAGCATACTTCAACCAGTAATTGAAGTATTTTAACCATATTCGTAAGTGCCAGTGGGTATTACCACTTCCAGACTCACAGTACTGCCTCCTCTTAAAAACAGTTGAAAACTTTGCAATGTGAAAGTGGTGCTATGCTCTTTTCTTATGCTTTCCCTGAAGATGCCAATATTTCCATTATTCCAATTTAAAAAAAAAATCCATGGTTCTAAGGAGCCTTTACCACTTGCTTTATTTATTACACTGGAGCAGTAACTTTCCACAGATGGTTCTGAAAATTCACCAGAACAAATCAGAAGTGCAAGGTGGAATTTTAGTGGTGAAAGTAGTAGACAAAAATCAGTCCAATCCTAAGAAGCTAAACAGAGAACTAGATATATTTCTGCATTTTTAAGGGTTGCTAAATGTTTTACAAATTTATCTGCTGAAAAATGATATTTTTCTTACCAAATACTTGATAGAAATAGGTTTGTATGTACATTGTTTCATTTGGTCAAAAAGGAAAAATACCACTCGACACTCAAAAATGCTAAAATGGATGCCATATTGGTGCTTATTTTCACTTGGAAATTTTGGAATAGGAACCTGTGACATTCATGTGATTTCAGCCAGGCCATTACTGTTCTGAAGAAAAAATTACACAGCTACTTCCACCTTAGACAGCAGATATTTCATTATAAAAATCTTACTCTGACATTTTGGTATAACCCATTAATTTAGCTCCAAATCTTCCACATTCCACTACTGCTGGTTGGTTGTTTTGTTTTCAAAAATGGAACTTTTCCCCCCAAAAATTTAGCAAGTTTGGTTCAGCAAAATATTAGGTGTCAATACACTGTATAAAGGTGGTAACAAACTCTGGAAGTAATTTTGTCAAGATGTATTCTATTTTTATGAAATGTATATATGTGGTTTTTCCCCCATGTGTATTTTCTATGCAATATCTTGAGTTTTTTATAACAACATTTTTACCAAAGGATAATGTTACATCAGAAATAATCAAATAAAGGTTCACTTTTTCTTAACCTGTGAGATTACTGCAGAATTTTTCATAGAACAAATTACTTGCTATGAATTAGTCACACATCTCTAGTTCTAACCCAGCAGCTGAAAGAAGAATTGACAATCTTTTGAATTTGTACAATTTGAAGGCATCCACACTGGGAGAGCCCTCAGCTTGGGAATTCTTTCCATGTCCCCCATTCATCAATGAAGCCCAAGTCTGGAACTCTTCAGGGACTATTAGTTCATACAGGGTTGATTGAGCAGGGGAGTGGGTTTTTGCTACTGTTGCGCAGAAGGGAAATTATTTTGTTACTAACTTGGGTTTTATTGTAAATATGCCTAGAGGTTGCTAATAAACAATATTTTTCTATAGTTTACATACACGTAAAATCAGTGCAAGGTGTTAGAGGGATAACACTAGTGCCTCAAATTTCTATCAGGTTTCAGAGTGGTAGCCGTGTTAGTCTGTATCAGTAAGAACAACGAGGAGTCCTTGTGGCACCTTAGAGACTAACAGATTTATTTGGACATAAGCTTTCGTGGGATATAACCCACTTCATCAGATGCATGGAGTGGAAAACACAGTAAGCAGGTATAAATATACAGCACAAGGACTCCTCAAATTGCTATGTCATTTTATGTACAGAACAGAGCTGGTATTGCCAACAGCAATGCAAGCTTACCCCAAACCTCCCCACCACCGCACCTCAGGACCACCACAAAGTTCAGTGGTTGACCTCATGTTGCAGCAGTACCTAAAGTTCCCACCAAGACCTGAGCCCCTTTGTGCCAGGTGCTGTGCATGCACATAGCCTGCCCCAAAACATATCTTTAGACAAAACTCACAAAAGGGTGGGAGAAATGGGGAACTGAGGCACAGAGTGAGTGAGTAACTTGGAATCTATGGCAGGGCTGGGAACTGAAGACAGTTCTGAGTGTTTTAAACCACAAGAGCATCGTTCCTGCTGACACTAATCAGGGCACTGTCCAGGATTTCTTGTGATGGTGGCTTAGTGATGTAAACAACCGTCCACTAGGAACTGGACTAAGAACAGCTCATTTCACATAGGCAGAGTTGTCCCGTGCTTTGGGTGGGCCCTGCACTTCAGGGCGGCCCGGCGCCATCAGCAGGGGTCAGGACCGTGCCCCGCAACCACCCAGGTGTTTGTTTACTTTTCTTGCCTGCAGCCCCCCCCGGGCTCAGTCTCAGTCTCTGTGGCAGCAAGCAACCGGCCCCAGCCCACTCTGCTCTGCCGGCTCCCGGCGTTGCCTGCCACCGCAGAGTCCTAGCATCCCCCAACCACTAGTGCCAGGGCAGGCTGACCCTGTCCTTCCGCCTTGGATGGACCCTTCCCTTTTCTGGTGGGACCCTCCACCAGCACAGGGGGTCCCCTCGCCCCTAGCACAGGTGAGTGCCGGCCAGTAGTCTCCATCATCTCTCGCCCAGCACTGGTGTCCTGCCAGTGCCCCACACTTCCCCCTTCCACTTCCCTTTCTCCCCTCTCCCAGCACTGGGTGGGGTCCTCCAATGCCACCTCCAGGCCAGAGCCAGCCCTTATCATCTCCCTGCCTCAGGGTCCTCCTTGCCTTTCAGCTCTCCAGCCTTGGGCTCCCCCTCCCCGCAGTATCAGGACTTGGGGGTTCCACAACTCTGCTCTCTCCACCAGCCCCCAGGACTGGGGTCCTCCATCCATCTGCTTTTCCACCTTCCCTTCCCCTCCCAGCCCCCAGAGAAAACAGATCTTAGAGCCCCTCCTCCATGCTGGAGGGTTCTGGGGTTCCCCAGCACCAGGGCACATATAGGCCCTCCAAGAGTCACACAGCTCCCGAGACATGGGCTCTCAGTGTTGCAAGTGTGTAATTACATTAAATTAAAAAAAAAAATCCACTGAGGGTAGCGAAACCATATGCACCTGGGAAGTAAGTTTGCTGCAAGGACGTCCAGGAAGGTGGATTTCAGAATGTAAGCGGTGCGACACTGATCGTGAACGGTGAGAGGTTTTTTTAATTATATGAACTTCCATTATAATTATAAAAAAGAACTACAATATAATTAATTATACAGCTGGGCGCTATCAATATTTAACCTGAGGCCAGCAGCTGCCCTTGAAGTTCACTGTAACCAGATTTCACCTGTATAAAAAAATGTTAAGGGTGGGCCCCTACACAGGCTGATCTGCCCTGGGCTCCGCACCCCCACTAGGGACAGCCCTGCACATAGGTAACCCTAAAAGCCTTTAGACAATAACTTTCAGACGTCGGTGAGGAAGGGGTAAAAGATTACAATCATTATTAAAATATTTACAATCACTAAAAGCATCCAATTTGGCTTAAGGCCTTATACTACTAGTCTCTATTGTATTAGTAAACCCATTATTTTTCAATATATTGAAATCCCTTTCTATTCCAGGATTTTGCAGTGTATTTTAATTTCCATAAAGATAAGTGGGAAAATATTAGCAAGTAGGGTTGATTGTTTTTAATTTGTCATGCAACCAAATATTGCAGTGAGGGCCACCAACCAAAACAAAAGGATATTTTTTAAATGTTAAAAATTTGCTAAAGCTAATATTATAGAAGAAAAAAAAGCATGGAGAATGAAGCAAAGATTGTCACAAAAAAGCAAGGGGGAGGGGGAAGACAACAAGAGTCTGTAGTTCTCTGTTAATTTCCTTCTCAAGGGGCTATGATTAGACAGAGTGAAGCTGGAGGAAAAATCCACATTTCATGTAAAGCTGCAGCAAATAATTCTTGGCCCTCTCAGTGCTGATAAGTTTGTTGAATTCCTCCATTTCTACTTTCCTTCCTGTTGAAAGAGTCTGGGCAAGTTAATTCCTTTAAGGGTCAGGAATTCTCCAGTGGGAAATCAATTAAAATCCCCCAGACATAGCCACCAGCAAGTTTGCTCTTTTCAGGTGGTCAACTGAAGATCAAAAAGGGAGGAGATGGGCAAGCCAACAAGCTACTTCCCCATATGGAAGCAGTTATACTAAAATGATGTCACAGATTGGAAGCCGCTGGGGAATGGAAGGATTAGGGTTATTGTGCTCTTTACCATTTTCACTCTTTTACTGGCTGACAGGAAATTATAAATAAAAAGAAAACATTGTGTAATGCGCCCTCTTTCTCTGCCTTCACATCTTGCACTACGTAACAAGGTTCTGATCTGTTTCACTTTAGAGAAAAGAATCGCAACTACTTTGGACTAAGTCTGAGAGCGAATGGAGCCAGTGCAAAGGCACCTACGTAAACTATCCCATATTATTAATTGCATGTTGAAAAGTGGGCTGCTTCTTATTAAAGGATTTATAATTAACTTTAACAAAGTTGAGAGTCAGATGACTGAGTGCACTTGCACACAACACATACATGTTTGTTTCAGAGTTACCCTTAGCCAAAAATAAGCGTTATATGAAGAAAGTGTTCTACTGAGAGCTACTAAACATTTTGCCTTTTTAAAAAGTTTTGTTGCTCACTATCTTTGGGCCTAATTCTGCAACCAGTTTATGCACAGAACTCTCTGATTAACCTACATAGCATCTACAGCATTGGGCCCTTAAGTCCATGTTTTAAAGTCTTCATTTTTATATTTTTTAGCCACTTCCATTAAAGTATTACTCAGAAGCCCCACTCAAGATGAGAGGCCCATTGTGTACAAACACACAAGTAAATATGGTCCTTACACAAAATAATAGTCTAAGAAAAGGTTAAAATATTTACATTTTCTGTAGGAATTGCCTTAAAAAAAAGGGGGGGGGGAAACTGAATGGCAGCCCATTCTACACAGGAGCTGATCAGACATAGTATTTGGCAAGACCCACATGCATAGTTAGATGAGATACAGAGAAAATCCAGGTGCTGCAGGAAGCAATGTTGGTTGTGCTGGAGGTGACACTTTTCCTTGAGTCAGTACTAAGACACGGCTCCAGTATGATACTGGCAAATCCAAATGTCTCATTATATTTCTACGTAGATGTAAGACCAGTGGATATCTGCATAATTTTAACCCCCTACAGTCTCTGGAAAATGGAAGCAAATAGCCAAGTAATACCTTTGGGGCTATTCCTATGCCAGCAGGAAGAACCTTGCCCAATCTCTTTGCTTGACTGACCCATTAATAGAGATACACTGCTTCCCCACCCTTTCAGTGATGGTGGAATATCTTTTAAATATGAATGTGTTATAGAAAGATGCAAATTAGTTATTTTTCAGAGAAATTATAGAGTCTTATATCATTTCTGGAGGAAAGGCAGCCAATATATTTTTCTCATTGCAGAATTATACAGTGATGGAAATATTTGAAGGGTGTGAATCCCAAAAGCAAGAGCGATTGCTTAAGTTGAACCAAGGATTTTTACAGGGAGTAATGAGAGGAAATTTGGCAGAGAAACAGGAATATGTTTTTAATGCATCTATTATACTGTGGAATGTCTCCCAAGAGGTGGTGAAAGTCCCTTCACTAGAGTTATTTGAAACTGGAATGAGAAAAGCACTGAATGTCTTATCATAGGGAACAGTTACACAGCAACCAGAAATAGACTAGATTAGAAATATTAAGGTGTCTGATCCGGACCACTTCACATATTTATGTGGAACATGTGGCATAGTCAGTTTCTTCAAAGCCTAAGTTTTCATTTAACAAAAAAACAACTGCTAAGTTTCTAGCCTTCAGGTTTGCAAAGAGAACTTTTAGCAAGTGAACTGAGTGTAAAGGCTGCAGTGATTTTTGTCTTAGTCTGCAGACAGCCAGAACCAATAACAGAGCCATGAACACTCCTGCCCTAGTTAATATCCTGGGTGTGCCATGTGTAAGTCCCAGTGATGCTATTTCAGTATCAACAGTAACTATTTCATTGCTGATCATTTTAAGCAGCTGGAATGAGCAAGTGGTGGGAGCAGAGCCCCTGGGGGAAATGAGAATTGGCCAGGGAAGGAAAAGAAGAAAGAAAAACTGGGGAGACAAGAAGGGAGGATGAGGCAGAAAGAGCCATGGTCCTAAAGGGGAGGGTATCTTTTGTTG